AAGTGTTTGTGAGTGTTTGTGTGTGTGTTTGTGTGTTTGTATGTGTATGTATGTGTATGTATGTGTGTGTTACATGTGTACGTGTGTGTGTGTATGTGTTTGTGTGTGTGTGCGTGCATGCATGCGTGCGTGCGTGCGTGCGTGCGTGCGTGCGCGTGTGTGTGTGTGTGTGTGTGTGTGTGTGTGTGTGTGTGTGTGTGTGTGTGTGTGTGTGTGTGTGTGTGTGTGTTGGGTTCCTCTGGTTCCTTCGCGGGGTGCCCAGGAGCCTAAAACAAGTCCCCACTTGGGGCGAGGAGGGCCATCGGATGGGGAACAACAGAAGACAATGAGGGGAGAGGCTGGAGCGCTGCGGCAAGTTCGCGTCGTGTCGACCGGCGCAGACCCCCGCGCGTGCGTTGAAAGTTGAACGCCGCCCGTGGCCCAGAGTCGGCCCATTTGTTGAAGGATCCGGCATTCAGGGAAGGGCCTATCGTTCAAGTTTGAGCGCTCTCCGCGGCGTCAGGAACCCCAACGCCGGGGTCGGCACGACGCGAACCTGCCCATACCGCCGCTCACTGGGCCGTGCGGCCCTCGAGGACAGCGGCGGCGCCGATCTGGAGTTCGACATACGGTTGGAGCCGTCGCGCCAGGCCGCCTGACGTCGGGCCGGGCGCCCGGGCGGCGGGCAGGGGGGGAGGAGGTGCAGCGAGCAGGGGGGTGCGAAGAAGGGGGAGGGGGCAGGGAGGACGGGAGGGTGGAGGGGGGGGAGGGAGGCGGGGAGGAGTCGAGGGGCGGAGGGGGCGGTGGGGGGGGAGAGCGGCGGAGGGGGCGAACCAAGGGGGAGGTGGGGAGGGGGGAGGGACAAGCTAGGTGCGCTCGCGTCATATCTGACGTCCTACCCCTCCCTCCCATCCCTTACCATGGCGCTGATTTTCTCTATCCGCGGACGCGTGTCGTAGCGGACCTGTGGCTCCGCGCGCGCGTGCGTAGTGGGTGGTGGTGCACGTGCGTGCGTGCGTGCGTGTGTGCGTGGTTGTCGTGGTGGTGGTGGTGTGGTAGTGGTGGTGGTGGTGGTGGTGGTGATGGTGGTGGTGGTGGTGCTGGTGGTGCTGGTGGTGGTGCTGGTGGTGTGTGGTACTGGTGCTGGTGCTGGTGGTGGTGGTGGTGGTGGTGGTGGTGGTGGTGTGGCGGTGCGGGTGGCGGTGGTGGCGGCGGATGGCGCGCGAGACAAAGGCCCGCGCTGGGGGAGAACGCCATCCTCGGCGCGGTGGTGGCGGGCGGATGGGCGCGCGAGAAAAAGGCCCGCGCTGGGGCGAGAACGCCATCCTGAACGACGGAGGCCAAACACCGATCCGAAAATGAGGCCCACGCTGCAGCGGGAGCACGATTCGGAACGATTCGGGAGCAGAAATGAGGCCGGCGCCTCAACGAGAGCAGCACTTTGGGAAAAAATGACGCCGGCGCCTCAGCGAGAGTCGTTTCCCGGGATTTCCCGGGCATCCTGTGTGTAAGAAAACAGTACGCGCAGGGTGCGCGGCCATCACCCGGACGCCATCAGGGGAAGAGGGAGAGTATTTTCATATTGAGCAATTGTGGAGGGGAGGAGGCGAGCGAGGAGCGCTCGCGCCGTGTATTTGATACCGTGCCCCTCCCACCTGTCTCTGGCATTCCCGTGGCGTTGCTTTTATTCAGCCCTCCGGCGGGAGGAAGGAGTGGGGGGAGAGCAACAGCAGGAGGGGGGGAGGCAGGAGCGCATGGTGGGAGGGAGGGAGTCGAAGGAGGCAGGAGGAGGCTGAGGAGGGGGAGGTGGTGGAGGGGGACCAGGGCGCGGCACTCGCGTCCTACACCATCGTCGCGCTCCCCGAGGAGCTCCGAGGGGGGCGGCGTCGCCATTGGATCTGACTTTCCTGTGGCCTTATGAGGAGGAGGAGAGGAGGAGGCGGAGGAGGAGGAGGATGAAAAGGAGGATGGGGGGAGGAGGCGGGGGAACCGCGGGAGCGGGGCCACGGGCGGGCGGGTGGTCTCCCGCCGCCGTTGCTGCTATATCTCCTTCTCCTCGCGCTGCTCCTGCGCGTGCCCCTGCTCCTCCGCCATGTTCCAGTTCCCTCCCTCTCCTCCTCCTCCTCCTCCTCCTCCTCCTCCTCCTCCTTCTCCTCCCTCCTCCTCCTCCTCCTGCTCCTCCTCCTCCTCCTCCTCCTCCTCCTCCTCCTCCTCTTCATCATCCTCATCTTCATCCTTCACCTCTTCCTCACTCGAACAGGAGCACGCGTGCGCGCCCGCCGCCACGCTGGCTTGCAGCGTGCACGCGGTATGGCCTCGATTGAGGGGAGAAGGACTTTGCGCTCTCCGGTTCCTCAGGAGACCATTGCCGCAAGTCCATCTGGTAGCGGAGTTGGCGCAAGCCAGTTCGGGCACCGAGCCGCGGACTGCTCAGAGTGCGCGATGTGAACGCGCATTCGCACTTCTTCACAATTCCTCAGCGCCAGCATCCTCCATTCCCTGAACAGCTTGTGCTTCTGGCTGTTCTGCAACCCTCACGGGAGTTCGCTCACTGGCCGCACATGCGCGACGAGGCTAACGCCGACGACCGCAAGTGACCTTATGAGCGCGTCGTCTCTTGGGGGACAGATGGCCCGGCGCAGGGGTAACTCGACCCGAAGAGGCAGGGATTCCTCGGCCCCCATACCACAGAACCTTGCGCTCTACCGCGCGACAGGGCAAGCGCGTGGGTTCGGCTTGTGCGCAGTGGTGCGGGCTTTCCTCTTGGTGAGCACGCTGCGTGCGCCGAGCGAGTTGGTTTACGCGTTTGTTCCAAAGCCCGTGGCCCAGCCCAAGAGCCTCACCACGACTACGGCCTTCCCGCGCGCCAATGTGGCGTCCGTCCCTGTGCAGGCCGGAGGAGGAGGAGGCACGCCATCGTGGCCACTTTGCTTGCATCGCCATCGAGAATCTCTGATGAGGGGACACGCCAGCCTGGCTCAATGGGGGGCACTTCAGCACCAACCTGATGTGGCCGATGCATGTTGGTGGACCGCAGCCGGCCAACCACGCATTAGGCGAGTGCTGCGGAGATTACGTCCAGCTGCAACCAGTACGAAGGCTGCGCTATGCCCGCTGCTCATTTGGTTGTTGGTCGCATCCACCTTTTCAACCAGTTCGGCAAATGCTAGCTGCCGTACTTATCATTCGTATTCTTATTAGTCGTTTGGTTTTCGCTCGGGGCGGAATTCGGCGGCGATTTTACGACCGTCTACACCGACACTCTTGCAGGATGAGGCGTTCGGGCACGCCGCTGGCACCTACTGTTGTCGTGCCGCGTGCTGCCCGGAAACCCTGGCAAAGGCCCTGAACCAGGGAGCTGGGGAGTGGCCCCGATTATGTGCTACACGACGGGCTGCCCTGGCCACGACGTGTCCGGACTACCGCAGGCACGCCGCCCGCCCATTCAGTCAACATGGTAGGAATGTTGAATGCGATGGGCAAGTAATCAAGGCAGAGGTGTGCCATTCGCTTGACAACAAGACTTGATGTTCCACGTTCTGGTGCATGCTGTGCGCCGTGGCGCACGGACGCACGACGCACGAAGTTTGTAGTTTCGGACATGTTGACACGTAAGTCGCGCCGATGGCCGCAAATAGTTTCGGCTTTCGTTGTGCCAGACGGTCCAGACGCGAAACCACACAGCAACCTGCGCGCCGTCAGCCACACCAGCTTCGGACAGAGAAGTGTGCGCGGTTGTCCCGTCACTGGCAAATGTTTTGTCATTGAGGACTCGTTGGTGGGGAGAACGCTTGCGCGTTGTCAGTGAGCGGCGGTGCCAGCCTCGCTGTGCACGCCACCTATGTGCACCCATGTGCTGCTCAGCGCGCCCATGGCATCGTCTATCCCTGGTAGTGAGGCAGAATCTGTGTTGGTGGTCGGATTGGCGGTTGATTTTCTCCACGTGCGGAATCGTCAAGTTTCAAGCTTTGCACATCGAGGTTGGGAGCGTGTTCGGGGTGCATTTGTGCAAAACGATTTGGTGGCAGTGCGCCGTCTACGCGTCAATGGTGGCAGGGGCTTTGTTGTGTGGCACACCTTTGTTCGGTACGTTCCTGGAAGAATGGACGTGACGGTCCCCAGGCTGGGTTAGCTTGCACGACCAGTCTTCAGAGTTCTGGGGGGAACGAGGAGGAGGAGGAGGAGGAGGAGGAGGAGGAAGAAGAAAAAAGGAGGGATACGATGATGATGATGAGGAGGATTATGCTGGATTATGCTAGCCTGATCTCCGCAGCTGCGAGGCACGCACCACGGCGACGATTAAAAGCTTCCCCTACCCCAGGCCGTCCCTGGGCGATAAAGTTCGGCTTTGGTCAAAACGGCTTGCCTGTGGTGGGGTGTCGACCGTCCCACAGACGGCTCAAACGTCCAGCCATTGTTCGGGGGTTTCCCTCGACACAGCTCGACAGCAAACCAACCCATCTGTCCTGAGCGTACCTGGCACATCGGCGACAGAAGATCACACGGGGGAGGCATATTAGCCTGTGCCCCTGGGCGCGGGCTCGTTCGATCCTACCTCCGTCTCCCCCCAACCCAACACGGTGGGGCGGGGCGCCGGGAGGCGGAAGGTGGGGAGGCTCCACGGCCCCCCCTTCACCCCCACCAGGCCGGGGTCCGGGGGGGTTGGGTGGGTTCGAGTCCCGCTCAACCGGACTCGAGCCCTCGGAGGTGTCAACGAGCCCTCTGCCTAACACTCCTACGTAGGCTGCGAACTCAAGCACATCCGTAACGAGTTTGAATCGCTGTATGTATGCAGCTCGGTGCCATTCAGGGTGCTGCTGCAGTCGAGCTCCTAGCTTGGCATACTGATCGGCGAATTTGGTTCCCTCCCACAGCTCGAGGCCCATCTCGTTTCGTTGGGCTCTCGTGGCATGGGCTTTTACTTTCTCGAACCTGACCCCTCGCGGCCCCAGACCACCGTTTTCAGCGATCAAGGCCCAGCAGCGCGCCCACACGTCTCTGTGTGGCGTGGCGGGGCGCGCCGCCCACGAGGGCCCTCTCAGAAACCCGTCGATGACCGACTGGCAGTCGGAGACGATGATGATGGGCGGGCAAGCCACCTCCAGCACGCGGAGCACGGCCATCAGCTCGCTCAGGAATATGGATTGCTGCCACTGTGGCCTTGGCAGGGGCCCGTAGCATGCGTACTTCAAGGACATGTCCTCGTTCAGCTGCACGAATGACCAACCTCCGCGTCGTAGGGCAGCGTACTTGCCGTACAACAGGCTGCCATCGGAGTACACTCGGCCCGCGGCGAAACCCGCGAAGTCGCCCTCGACGTGAATGGTGTCGGCGACGGCGATGTCCCACAGGCCGAGCTCCACCGCGGGGTCGTTGGCCAGCCCACGGCCCCAGAGCTGCTCGGACCCTGGCCATGGGTTGGCTCCTCGCTGCACGATGTGGGCGCCACCCACGCGCCGACGCTCCTCCTGCCGCGCCGCGCAGACGAAGGTGCGGTGTCTGTCCGTGCCCTCGCCCTGGTTGCACGCCTTGCAGATGGCGTCGGGTGCCGCTCCTTTGGCATGCAGCCGCGCCTGCGGCCACGTGCCCCCGCACCAGAGCGTCCTCACGCGCGTCTGGTGCGCCTGCGTCCAGCGCCCGCGGCATGGCCGCCGCAGGAGCGCCCTCACAGGCTCAACGAAGACCGAATGCACGTTGAACTCGCTCCCCCCCTTGGCCAACCACGCGTCCTTGAGGCCCTGCTCGGTGGCGGCGCGGACGTAGTGATGCAGCTCGTGGAGGGGAATCGTCCTCAGGTCGATGATGTTGGTGCCGATGGCAATCGAATGCGCCGCCTGGGTCATCCAGCCGAGCCTCTTGACCGTCGCCACGAAGGCCCCTGCTGGGCCTCTCACCTGCTGCCACGGGGCCCACTCGGAGGACCCACCGCTTCCATGCGGCCTGGAGCCTCGGCACGAGACTCGGGTCGTCCTCTGCTTCTTGCCAGGTCTGCGCCCACGCCAGGATCGGGGACGCGTTGGCCAGAATGCCTGGGTCTACGTCGTCGGCCAGCAGCGTCAGGTACGTGGACCGCCCCTTCGCATTACCAGCCATGGCCGTCGCCACGCTCTGCCGCAGCTCGCCCAGCTTGGTGTCGGCCATACCCATGACATTGACGCCGTAGAGCAGCGACGGCACCTTGGCGTGCCTGATCACCTTGTGTGCGGGTCCCCCGGCTCGCCGGACCCTCGCGATCCGATCCCGTCTGGCGGCGAACTTGACTGCCCTCTTGCTGAAAGCCCCCACTCGCCGGTATCTGCCCGCGGCCGTCGTAACGCCGAGGTGTTTCTCTTCCTTCACCATCCTCACGCCGTGGGTGCGGATGCGCTTGCCGAGCTCCGCGTTCAAGGCCGAGGTCGAAGCCAGGGTGACCGTCTTGCCCCCCTCGCCCCGGGAGACCCGCATGTCCAGGACCACCTCGAACATGTTGATCAGCGTCTGCACAAGCTGGGAATGCCAGTACTGCACGAACTCCCTGACGCCGTGCGTCGCCATCGCCAGGTCGTCGAAGAACAGGCAGGTGTCCGCCCAGGGGAAGGCCTCGACGACCCCGTCCAGCTCCATGTATAGGACCATCTTGAGGCAGAGGGGTGCGAACCTGCTTCCTGCCACAATGCCCCTGGCCCAGCGCCGCCCACGCGTGTAGCACCCGTCGAGGACGATGCGCCTCACCATCGCGTAGATCCTGAGGACGACCTTCAGGATGAGGCGGTTGAAGCCCCACCGCGAGCCCGCCTTCCAGACCAGCTCGTGGGTCACGTACTCGAAGCACCTGACCAAGTCGAAGTACGTCACGGCGTACTCCAGCCCCTCCCCGACGGTCGCCTCGCAGAAGAGCGCCTGGACCCAGGCCGCCCGCTCGCTTGAGCGGCCCTTGGCAGCCCAGTCATAAGCCCGTCTGTTCGCCTCCTCCCAGCGCCTGGCGAAAGGGAACCGGATGGTCTCCCACAACCTCGCCAGCTCTGGGATCAAGCCGAGGTTCCTGTAACCTCCTGCGGGCTTCGCGAGCAGGTAGAACAGGATGGTGGATTGAGGCTCGGGCCATGGTGACCCTGCCTCCACCGCGTTGAGCACGCTTGCCACGCGCGCTGCCCCTTGGACGCCTCCCTGCTTCCAGAGTCGCGGATGCCAGCCCGACTCTCCGAGGCCCGTCTTGGCGCGGAACTTGTCACTGGCGTCCAGCACTTCTTTGGGCGTGATGGGTGGCGTCCTGTACTCCTCCTTCTCGAGCGCTGTGGGGGGCTGGCACCATGGCGCAGTCGGGTCGTACTCATCGCCCTAGATCGCCTCCCAGCCCGCGAGCGAGTGATCAGCGGCCTCCTGGGGGTGCGCGAGCGCGTGCTCGCTGATGTTCTCGTTCTGTGGTGGCGCAGTCGGCTGCCACGGCACGTGCGGCTTGGTCCACTTGTGTATGGCCCCCGCGCTTGCTGCTCCGTGGTCACGTAGCCACCTCTTCCAGCCTGCGGCTGACGCGCGATGCACCAGCCTCCAGCTCCTCCGACTAGCCACGTCCAGGAGGGTCGCGACGCGGTCGATGTATTGCAGTTCCTGAGCCGTCATCCTGTCGACGTCACATCGATGCTGCCCACCGTGTTCACGATGGCGGGCCACTGCACTGTGTCCCAGGTGAGCTGCTCCTCGGCGCCCGGCTGCTCCCCCCCGCGGGGTAGCGCTCCAGCCGCGAGGCGGCTCTGTACCACTTCCGCCTCCTCGCAGGGGAGGTCGGGGAGGGACGTGTCCTCGTTCTCCGACACCAGCGACGCCGCCTCGTCTTCCCACGCGGTGCCCTTTTCACTCTGCGGGCCAACTGCAAAAGGGCACCGCTGCGGTGCGGCGCCCCCAGCAGGGTCGTCTCCAGCGGCCCCGGCAGCTGCCTCTTCGGTGGCGGGCTGCAGGCCTCCCAGGGAGCCCCCTGGCGGGGCCGCCGCGAGGGCCTCCGGGGCCGCCCTCATCAGCGGCATGACGATCTCGTGGGCCAACATGGTGTCGGCCACGTGGATTGCCTGCCGCCTCGTCTCGTCGGTCTCGCTGGTCCACCAGCGCGTCACGAAGTTTGTCAGTTGCCTGAGCCGTCGTGACAGCCACTCGGCTGCCTCTGCCCAGGCCTGCTCCCTGGACGCCTCCTTCAGCCTCGGCGCCTCCGTGTAGGTCCACTTGTAGATGGCCTGCTCGTAGTGCCCCTGCCGCCGCGTCAACTCCTCTCCCTCGAAGTTGTGGAAGCGGTTGAGGTGCTCCTCGTAGGCCACGCCCAGCGCCCGCCAGTGGTCATCCATGACGTCCTGGCTGTGCCCTCCGTGCCTCGGCAGAGGGCGAGGCCAATGCGTTGGGAGCGTCGCGCACCCCATGGGTAACTCCAGCGGCCACCGCTGCGGCTTCTGGAGCACGTAGACCATCCGGTCGTCCCTGTGCTGCCTCGCGAGCCGAAGCACGACGGGGGAGTGCGGCGACACGTTGTAGCCGTTCTGCACCGTCGCCTCCAGCGGCCCGAGGACCAGGCTCTTCGAGACGATGAAGTAGTCTCTGTCGTACTGCTGCCCGAGCATCGTACAAGAGCCCTGCTGCCTGTCGTGCACGATGATCCCGTTCATCCTGCAGAGCAGCCCCGAGTCCCTGATGACGTGCGGGTCCATGTTGAAGTCGCCCACGAGCACCCACTGGTAGCCAGTGGCGTTGACGACGCTCGCCCACTTGGTGAGGATCAGCTCGTTCCTGCGCGTGAGGCCCTCGCTGGTCCAAAGGTAAGCCGACCCGAAGAGCAGGCCTCCCTTGCACACTCCATCTAGCCATGCCACGGCTAGTCTTCCCCTCGAGGCTGGCGGTGAGATGTCCCAGCTGTTGATACCTCTCCGTGCGAAGTCCATGCCCTGGCGGCACCGCGTGGCCACCAAGACTCCCCCACTCCAGCTTCCCTCCTTTTTGACGCTCGGCACGATGCCAAGCCTCCAGCCCAGCTTCTCCATGCGCCCGACGAACAAGTTAATCCTGTGCTCGTCGGCCTGCAGCTCCTGTGCCATGATGGCGAGCGTCTGCACCAAGTAGCGCACCTGCATCATGACCCGCTCCAGCGTGCCCAGGGAGTTCGCGTTGATGGTGATGAACTCCTGGTAGCCGCGTGCGTCGTCAGGAACACGACGGCTTCGTCCACTGCAGCTTGGAGATGGTGATGCACGTCCCGGCGAACATGCCAGCAAGCAGAGCAACCATAGGAGGGGCGTGCACGTCCATCTGCTCGGGCGTGACGCCGCCGTCCTGCATGATCTTGCGCACCGCCTGCTCGTCGGAGCCCGCGGGGAACTCGAGCATGTCCTCCTTGACGATGGTGTCGGCTGCTGCGCGCCGCTTGGCGCGGCCTCCCTGGGAGGCGGCGGCCTTGCTTGCTTGCCTCCTCCTCCTCCTCCTCCTCCTCCTCCTCCCCTCCTCCTCCTCCTCCTCCTCCTCCTCCTCCTCCTCCTCCTCCTCCTCCTCCTCCTCCCTCCCCCCCTCCTCCTCCTCCTCCTCCTCCTCCTCCTCCTCCTCCTCCTCCTCCTCCTCCTCCTCCTCCTCCTCCTTGGCTCGCGGACGGCCGGCCTCCTCGGCGGCCTCACGGGCCTGTTCGGCCTGGGCAGCCTTCTCGTCCTCAAGCTTCTCCTGCGGCCGCGCGTGCTCCAGCGCCTCTTGCAGCTTGACGTCGCCGTGTCCCAAGGGCTCCCTCGAGGGCGCGAAGTTATTCGCGCTTCGCGGTCCTCGTTCCTTCTCCCCCTCCTCCTCGTCCTCCTCTTCTCCCCCTTGGGGGGCGGCGCGAGAGCGCGAAGTTATTCGCGCTTCGCGCTTCGCGCAGCGCGAAGCGCGAACTTAGGAGCCCTTGTGTCCCTGGCTGCCTCCTCCACCCCCGGTGTGCTTGAGGCACTTGGCAGCCTGTTCCAGGAAGGCCACCGCTGCGCCCCAGCCCGTGCCCGGGCTCGGTACCGAGAGTTCCTCGATCTTCGTGCTGAGCTTCTGCAGCTTGTCCTCGTGACGCTGTAGAACTGCACGTTCGTCGTCCAGCGCCTTCTGAGCCTTGGCCACGTCCTCCTCCAGCTTGGTGATGCGCAGCTTGCACTTGTCCCGCTGCTCCTCGACCCTGTTGCGGTCTCGCACCACCCTGCATTCGGTGAAGCACCTGGGCACTCCTGTGTCGATCTGTGCCTGCATCGCGTCAACCCTCTCTTGGAGCGGGCCGATCTTGTCCACCACGAGCTCGCCAAGGATGGGGTCATCCGACATCTTCTTGAGCTCCGCCAGCTTGGACCGCAACGTGGCAAGCTGCTCGGCGGTCGGGTTCTTGTCCTTGTCGGCCTCGTCGGTGGACTTGCTGGTGTCGTCAGCTGTGCCTGCAGCGGGCTTGGCCTTCCAACACTTCCAGCAATAGTCGTAGCCGTCCCCATTCTTGGCCGCACCTCCAAGATCCATGCTGCTGCTGATGCTTGGACTTGGGGGCCATACGCTCTTGCACGCAAGGCCACTTTGAAGTTGGCGTGCAAATCGCCCGCGCTGCCTCCTCAGGCAAAGGGCGGCTTGGGCGCAAAATGGCTGATGATGATGATGAGGAGGAGGAGGAGGAGGAGGAGGAGGAGGAGGAGGAGTTAGGGAGGGAGGGAGGGGGGGCGGGAGGGAGGAGGGGGGGAGGGACGAGGAGGAGGAGGAGGACGGGAGGAGGGGGAGAAGGTTTGGGGGGCGGCGGAGAGCGGCTGCGGAGGAAGAAAAAGGAGGGAAAGGAGGGCGAGGAGGCGGAGGAAGGCGGAAGGCCCCCCGCGCTGGCCCGCCCAGCAGCACCCTGGCGCCGCTGGAGCCGCGGAGGTGCAGCACCACACCCAGGCGGGGCGCGCACGCCCATGCTGCTCGGCCGCCTCTTGCCGCTGCTGCCTGGACTCGGACCTGCATGCCGCGGCTTGGATCCCGCAGCGTCCGCTGTGGGCGCGACGCTGCCCCGGCCTCGGGCCCAGCTGCGAGCGATCAGCGCCGGGCCTGAGCACCGGCGCTCGAGGCCAGCTGCCATCTGCTCGGCGGCGACGATAGGGGCGAATAGCCCAGGGGCGGGCATTACACGTATTCGCCCGGGAGCCTTTTCGAAGACATAGGTCATCGGCGCCCTTGGATACATGTATTGCTCCCCCCTGGGCTATTCGCCCCTGCCGTCGCCCCTGATCTGCGAGGGTCGTTGGTGCAGCGGCGGGCGGCCCCGAGAACGGGCAGCCGCGCGCGACTCCTGCCCCTGTAGGCCAGAGTTCTTCGAAGCGCCCGCGGGGCTTGGGAGCTCGAAGGATGCTCCCATACATGAAGGAAGCGGAAAGGCTTTTTTAATTCGTTTTCTGCCTCCGGGGGCCAGCTTCGGGCCCCAGGACCGTCAAAAAACGACCGGGGGTGAGAAGTTGGCCCTGGAAAAGGGGTCGAAAATTGGCGGGGGCCCGTGATCTGACGAGAATTGAGACGCCAGATGTTTGGGGAGGATTTCGGGCTTCATCTCCAGTGCAGTCACGGGGGGTCGTTTGGGATTCGCTCGTCATCCTTCTCCTTCCTCCCCTCCCTCGTCCTTGCTCGTCCCTACTCCTTCTCCTCCCTCCTTCTCCCTCCTCTTTCCTTCTCCTCTTCCTCCTCGTCCCACCTCCTACCTCCTACCTCCTCCTCCTCCTCCTCCTCCTCCTCCTCCTCCTCCTCCCCTTCCTCCCCCTCCTCCTCCTCCTCCTCCTCCTCCTCCTCCTCCTCCTCCTCCCCAGCTCCTCCCTCTCTCCTCGTTTCCCGCCTCTGGTGATTAAGGAGGTCTGCCTGCCTGCCTGGAAGGTCCCGTCAGCTCCCGGAGAGGTTGCAGCCCCGGAGGTGCCCATCGAGCAGCCGCGCCTCGCCGAGAGCGTTCTGGGAGCCTCGCCAGTTCTTGGAGGGAGCGTTCGCTGGCTCTCGGATGGTCTTTTGCCTCGGGATGCTCCCCAGCTGCTCTCAGCCACGCGCAGAGGGGGGTGGGGGAGGGGGGCGGACTTCTTAGAAGCACCCCTGCTTCTAAGAAGCCCTCCCCCCTCCCCCCACCCCCCTGTGCGCGCCGCCAATGCTCCTCGCCAAGAGCGTTTTGAGCCAGCTCTGGGGAAGGGGTCGGGACTTCACGGGCCCCCCCCCGCCCGACAAGGCAGGTTCGCGCGGCGACGGTGCGCCGGCGACGCCAGCGAAGGCGCTCAAGGGTGAGTTCCGCATGACAAAACGACGCGGAAGCACCGAGGGGCACGGTTGAGCCACAGGACCCGACGGAATTCAATTTTGAACGATCGGGGCCGCGATCGGTTCAAGGCTGAACGATCGACGTTGTGTCAAAAGCTTTTGCGCGCGCCGACGTCGCACGATCCTACCGTACACTTGCCCCTCCTCTTGGTTGAGGCGTCGTGGGCTTTTTGGGCAATATGTGGGAACTTTTGTGGGCGTCTTGGGAGAGGGGCCTCTCGGAGCCTCTCGGAGGCAGTTGTGAGGCGTGTTGGGGGGCCGCGGTGGGGCCTCTTCTGGGCCTCTTGGGGCTTCTTGGGAGTTCCCCCTCCTCTCCCCTGACCTTCCAGACTGCGAAACAAATCCCTCCAGGCCGCCCATACACCTACCTGGACCGCCGCAGACCTCGACTGGAATTTGGTTTGGGCGCCCACGTCCTGTCGTTGTTTCTCGGGATCTCCTGGAAGGTCAGGGTCTGCCCCCCCCCCCCAGCCCCGAAGGCTCCTCCCTCTCCCGCCGCCGCCCTCGCCCCTCGCCCCTCGCCCCAGGCTGACAGGAAGTCGGGCGTGCCCCGCTGCAGGAGGAATGTCCAAACACAGGAAAAAACTGCTCGGGGACGACTTGTCGTTTTTCAAATACATGTCTGAGCATGTTTTGAATCCGTGTTGCCTTTTTTTTTAGCTCTCGTCGAAAATCGGCCTGCAGGGGGACATGCCCGACCTCAGGCTAACGTGCGACGCCCTGGCCCCTGCCGCGGCGCGGCCCCCGGAGGCCCCCGGCCTCTCTCGAGCGCCGGAGCACGCGCACCCTGCCCCTCCGGCTGGGTTGACCCGCACAGGGCGGCCCAGCGGCGAGGGGGCGGCAGGCCTGCGGGGTTGCAGCACGTCCTGGGGCGAAGGATTGCAAAAAAACGAAGGATTGCAAAAAAACGAAGGATTGCAAAAAAACGAAGGATTGCAAAAAAACGAAGGATTGGAAAAAAAACCGAAGGATTGCAAAAAAAACCCGGGTTTTTTCTGCAATCCAGGGTTTTTTTGCAATCCGGGGTTGCAGCACGTCCTGGAGCGCGAGTGTACTGCTGGAGTTTCGCGTGCAATGCGTTCGCCGCAGTACGGTGCAAGACAGTGCTCCGGCGCAGCACGTTTGCAGCACGGCTGCCCCAGATCTGCTGCACCACCCCCTGTCAGCTGGGCCCCCCTGTGGGTCCATCAAATCCAGGAGGGCACCAGGACGTTGACGCCTCGATTCTCGTCGAGGTTTTGGACGGTTCAGGTAGGTCTACAGCTCTGTTTTAGCACTCTGGAAGGTCAGGGTAATGGGGTGGGGGGGCGGGGGCAGTGAGGGCTGCAGAGAGGGGCCCTACCTAAGGGGCCCCCCAGGGGGCCCTTTAGGGCCCCAAAGCGGGCTTCTAGGGCCCGAGAAGGGCACATTCCTTTTCCCACAGTGGATCGCCCCCTTGTTGAGCGACGCCCAAGGAAGGCTCGGGGCTTCGGGGGACCGAACGGCCCCGACAGTCACCCGGAGCCTTCCTCCTCCGCCGCTGCCACTTCCTGTGCCAGCCTGGGCCTTGCCTTCCAGGCACAGCCCGTGTCAGGCCGATCTGTTAAGATGCTTCAATGCGTCCGAAAGCCAAGGGGCGGGTTTTTCCGTCGCCCTTGGCCTCTTATTGGGGGCCCTCGCAGGGTCCAAAGGGGCTGCCAAAGACTGGCTGAAACGCCGGCCCTCGGCATCTTCCCCAGGGCCGGCTTCTCGTTCCCAGCTGCTTTCGGACGGCCCCGTGGCCTGACGTGAAGTCGGGCACGTCCCCTTCCAGGAGGAATAGAGTCAAAATAGTTTTAACAAAAAGTAGTCGAGGGAACATGCCCGGCCCAAGCCTGGCGAGGACCCAGGGATGCCGAAA